TGTGTCCACACTTTTGCATCCTTCTATGGTTTTTCGCTGGTTCATCTTTAAGCCCTGACCAGCAAATTCAGAGGAACTGAAAGTTTCTATTCTCTGTCTTATTTCTGACGCCCTAGAACCCCAATCCCACGGTCCCACGTCCCCTCAGTGCCCCCCAGTCTTACTCCCAGCTGCTCACAGAGCACGACCATCATCCCTGACAAAAAGGGGGCCAAGTTGTGTTCTGTGGGTTCCATTTCTCCCCAGTTCACCTTTAAACCAGCACAGAACCCTCAGTCTGTCAGCCAGCGTTGGGAAATGCACAAAGACTGATCCTGCACAACTGGGGTGTGTGTTTCACGGGTCACACACCAAATGGGTCTCACTGAAGGGCCAACAGGACCTACAAAATTGCAGCTGGCTGTGACTCCAGCTGAGCCCCTTTCCAGCTCCCTCAGCCCCTCCTGGTGCTCCAGCCCCTTCCCAGCTCTGTTCCCTTCCCTGGACATGCCCCCCAATGTCTCTTGTCATGAGTGGCCCAATACCTGAGAGTGTCCCCCAGTTTCCAAGTCATGTATCCTCTACTCAGAACTTTAAAAACCAAGTTGTGTCCTTTGTTAAGGACCTGCAGTGTCCATAAGGCTCAGCAGCCTGGTTCCATGAATACAGGGAATTCTCTGAAATTAGGACTCACATTGGGAATAGACCTGCTGAATCAATAAAATTCCTAGGAGAAATATCTTAGCAGATTTTATGTTTGCTGTGAAGAAAAAAAAAAAAACCCACAAACAGAAAACCAAACCTTAAAAAAAACGCCAGAAAGCAAAATCAAAAATTAGCCTCTTAAACAAATCACCAGAAACGCTGGGTAGAGGATGTATAAGCCTGGAAAAACAAACAGAGCCCCTCTGCAGGGACTGATTAGTGAAAGAGAGTGATTAGCAGGGCAATTAACCCTGTGTTCCCCAGAGGGAAGGGCTCCCTGCACGGGGCTGCTCTTTGGCACTGGCATGTGCAGCTCTCACATGGCTCCTCTGGCACAGGAACCAGGAGTCAGGTCTGTGCCACATCCCATGGAGCAGCCCAGCAGCCACGCCAAACCCCATCCTGACTGTGGCTGTGCCCTCTGGAGCACTTCCAGAAAGTGCTGTCATGGATTCAGGGATGCTGGAGTCTGCAGGCTCCAAGGGATCAAAGCTGAATATTCCTGTATTTTCTGGGTGCCCCAACCAAGGCAAAGAAAGGAATCTGACTTCATGTTCTTAGAAGGCTCTTTTATTATTATATTATATTATATTATATTATATTATATTATATTATATTACATTACATTACATTACATTACATTACAGTACATTACCTTATATTATATTATATTATATTATATTATATTATATTATATTATGTTATGTTACATTATATTATATTATATTAATTATATTATATTATATTATATTATATTATATTATATTATATTACACTAAAACTATACTAAACTATACTAAAGAATAGAGAAAGGATACAGACAGAAAGCTAGAAAGATACTAATGAAAAACTCATAACTTCTTCCAGAGTCCTGACACAGCCTGACCCTGACTGGTCATTAAGTCAAAACAATTCACATGTTGGATAAACAACCTCCAACCATGTTTCAAAGCAGCAAAACACAGGAGAAGGAAATGAGATAATTATTGTTTTCATTTTTCTCTGTGTATATATATATATATATATATATATATATATATAATCAATCATATAATAGTGCATTTTTCACATTATCCCGTCCAAGCAAGCATTTTAACACAAACTTACTTACATCAGCTATTTTACTAAGCTTAATTAACAACAGAAATAGGAACTATATCTTTACAGCAAAGTTACTTTATATAAATATATAAAAATATATAAATATTTCTACAAAGAGCATTACAAACAGTTGTCACTCAAAATCAGCTCTCCTTGAGGTAAGCCACTGGTTTCCTTGCCTCTCTGCATTACCCACCACATGTAACCAGGTCCTTGAGCAAAAGCAACCCCACTGTGAAAAAGAACCAAATAATAATTGGCTTTCTCATTTATGTAGTAGCCTATATGCATTGTTAGTGATTATAACTATTTAGAAATAGTATCAATTATAACTCTTTTTAGCTGCTTGTCAATATAATCTATCACCTTAAGTATGCACTTTGTTCATAGAAATAGTAGTGTAATGAATAAAATATCTATGTATCATTTATGGAAATAATAGTTTGATGAATGTACTGTGTTATAGACCTTAGCAAAACATAAGATGTGGAAAAAAAAGCCTTTTGTGTAACTAAAAACAGTGTATGACCATCCACTGACCGACCCATCCAAGTGATAAGATAACCGTGACACTAACCAGAACACCAGAGGACAATTAGAGAATGCCATGTGACATTCTAGGAAGACATACTATATCCTTATCAGAGGATGTGAAACAGCAGGTTGGAGACACAAGAAGAAATAAAATATATTGACCTGACACCCAGAATGTCATGCAGATAAGCCCAGAGTGTGAAGAAGTCAGACAAAGGAGTTCTCAAAACATCAGAAAGTTAGCAAGAATGTTTGAATAATGCATGAAACACATGAATATACATGTGTGAAAAACGCACATTATATGATTAGCTCTTCGCAAATATTAAAATTAATATTATATGTGTTATGTTGGAAAGTTATGCTGTATTATTCTCTTTTAAATGGTGTTGAATTAATCTCTTTTAAGTAGTGTGGTAAATATAGTTTTTAGGCTATAGCGTAATACTAAAATAGAAACAATGTGATGTAAGATACTTTTTGTAAGGATACTTTCCTTAGCTTGAGGAATGGACAAGATAATCAAGAAATTCTTTGTATAGAGATAACAGCAAACAGACACCAAGATGTCAAGAGAAGAATTATTGCCTACTTATCGGAAAAACTCAGACTTCGAGGAGCCAAAAATTTACAACATAAGGAGGGGAAGCTGAAATTTAGCAGAAACACCCTGATTTGAAAGGAATGCTTGAATCATGTATGAGATATATGAATATGCAACAGGCTTTTAAGGGTTAATCCTTTGTTAGCAAAGCGTGCTTTGTGGCAGAGAGCGAAAGCACACAACGTCTGTAATACTTTGATTTTTATTGTCTTTTATTGTCCTAACTTTGATTGTCCAAATTCTTATTGTCCTAATTTTTATTAATATTTTTATTACTTATCATTACTATTAAACTTCTAAAATTTTAACACAAGTGAATGGCGTTTTTCGCACATGTATTTCAGTGATGTAGCAGGATAAAGATAACACTGTGTACACCAGTCTGCTCTTTATCTGTTGGCCAGGAGCAGCCCAGCGCTGGAAATATTGTAATTTTTTTTATCCTGTTACTATTACTGTCATTATTATTACTATTAAACTTTTAAAAACTCTGTGGCGGTAACCAGTTGTCAGTTTCTCTGTGTCAGGATTGAAGGCACTTGAGATGGTATTTCATGTTCAGACTCAGGTGTTTATTGCTTTTTTATCAGTAAAACAGTTTCACTTCTGTGAGTTCGGCAGCTTTTCATTAGAAGGCACAAAATGGCTCACAATCTCTTGTTACAAGGTCTTTGAAGACTAAACTATCCAATTAAGAACTGACACCTAGATTATTTCCCCTTTTAACCAATAACTGATCCCAAAGAGCCACGATGCGGACTTTTCTGCCCAATTACAAAATGACACCCAAACCTATGAAGAAGGAGGAAGAAGAAGAAGCATGAAGAAGAAATCCAGGGTGACACCCTGTGCCCGCCATCCTGGTTCCATCCACAACATACTAAAAATCCCAAAAGCTAAATTTCTCAGCAAGCGATACACCTACACTTCTCTCTACAATCTATTTCACACTTTTGTGGATTCCAGTCTATCTTGAAGTCTAGGAAACTTTCTCCAGGTATGAGGGTCAAAGTCAGTGCTCCCCTGGGAGCCAGGGCAGAGCAGAGAAATATTCCCCGTGCCCTGGGTTTCCACAAAACTCTAAGCAGTGAATTCTGGTTTTCACACCACGGATGCATTTGCCTTTCCCCGAGGTGGTACTGATCCAAGTTGCCCTTATCTAATACAGCTCTGATGTGCACCACAGGGACCCCCTCAGGGCTAAATGGGCATCCAGCTCCTGTCACCATGACTTAGGTTGGAAACGGGGGTGTGTGTTCTATTCCTACCTGTCAGAGGTGGGGCAGTTATCTCCTGTTCATTGGGCAGTTCCCTTTATCTCTTCCACAAACCAATCCTCCCTCCAGGAGATCTCTTCTGTTCATGGGTTATTATTGATTAATTATCTCCTGTTCATAGGCCATTAATTATTAATTATCTTCTGTTCATGGGCCAGTGGGTGTCACTGCATGGCTGATAAAATTCCATCATCCCACTGGGAGATGCCCTGCCCAGTGGGAGGAGCCAAGCATTCCTACCTGGATATAATTTGAGGTTTGGCACACCACCTTTGCCCACTGCATTCCCAGAGGAGCAGCTTTCTTCTCCCCTGCATTCCCAGAGGGAGAGCAGGCCCATCTCCAGCAGCCCTGGAGCTCCAGAGGAAAACTCCCCCCTTGTCCAGGATCCCTGCTCCAGCAGAAGCACAGCTGGCACTGCAGGAGGGCTGAGCCACCAGGGAATGGGACTGTGCCACCACCCTGACCCACAGGGGGTCAGCTCTGGTTCTAACTCCATCAGTGTTGTTTTATATTATTGCATATTTTATTTTATTTTATTTTATTTTATTTTATTTTATTATTTTATTTTATTATTTTATTTTATTTTATTTTATTTTATTTTATTTTATTTTATTTTATTATTATTTTATTTTATTTTATTTATTTTCTTGACGGATAAACAACCGTTATTCCTGCTCCCATATCTTTGCCTGAGACCCCCTTAATTCCAAAATTATAATAATTCAGAGGTAGGGGGTTTACATTTTCCATTTCAGGGGAGGTTTCTGCCTGCCTTAGAAAACACCTGTCTTTTTAAACCCAGACACACCAGGACAGAATGTCACCCCCAGACATGGATCCTTCATCCCACCCTTCACCTTAGAATGCTGAGGCCTTTTCTGGGTTGTTGGGGTAGAAAATTCAACTCTTCAGCGATTTGTCCCACCCTCAGAACCCTCTTCCTCCACCTCCTTCTCCTCCTTTTCCTCTTCCTGTCCCTCTTCCTCCTGCCTGCAGGAAATCCTGGAATTCCAGGATAATTTGGGATGCGAAAGCACCTTCAAGACCACTCAGTTCCACCCCTGCCCTGAGGGTTCCTCTGTCCTTCCTCCTCATCCTCCTTCTCCAGAGGGTTAAATTGAAGTAAATCCAGTTTAATAATTGGGAAGAAAAATTAAAATTATTGGAAAGGGAGGCAAAAAAAAGACCAAAAAGTGAAGAACCACAGCCATGGCACATGCAGGGTCCCCCTGTCCCAACATCCTGGTGGCACCTGTGGCTTCACTGTTGTCCCCTCTCTTGTCCTGTCTTGGTGGCCACAGAGGTCATGGTGGCCTTGCTAGTCACAGTGGCCACAGAGGCCATGGTGACTTTAGAGACCTCAGTGACCTTGGTGGCCTCATGGCTTGGGGGGTGCAAGTGGCTTTGTTGACCACGGTGACCACAATGACCATGGTGGTCTTGGCAGCCTGGTGGCTTAGCAGATCCCAGTGGCCACTGCCAGGGCTGCAGTGGCCAGGAGGAGCCCTCCGAGGTGGGGGAGGTCCCCAGGGATGTTCCTGCCTGGGAAGGAAAAGATGGGGGTCAGAGGGGGCTGGGGGAGGTTAAGTGGGACGGGGGACAGAGGTGACAGGGGAAAGGAGGAGCCCTTGGGGTGGGCCAGGGAGTCAGGGGTGCCATGGAGGGGGGTTTAGAGGTGACAGGGGGGTTTGAGGGGCCATGGGAGGGTAGAGGGAGCCAAGGGGTGTCAGAGGGGTCATGGAATGACATAGGGGACAAGGGGGCCACGAGTGGGGGGCATGGTGACAAGGGGAGCCATGGGGGGGTGTCAGGGTGGCCATGGGAGGATCAGGGGTGAGAGGGGCATGTGGGGCCATGGGGAGGGGACAGGGCTCAGGGGTTTGCCATGGGGGTGGTTTAGGGGTGACAGGGGCGCCATGGGGAGGGGACAGGGCTCAGGGGTTTGCCATGGGGGTGGTTTAGGGGTGACAGGGGCGCCATGGGGAGGGGACAGGGCTCAGGGGTTTGCCATGGGGGTGGTTTAGGGGTGACAGGGTGCCATGGGGAGGGGTGACAGGGTGACAGAGCGGTGAGGGGGCCCAGCTCACCTGCGTCAAACACACAGGGCCCATCCCCACAGCGCTGGTCTGCTGAGGGGAGGGACAGCATCAGTGCTGGGGGGTCCCTGTCCCTGTCCCATCCCCCATGTGGGGGTCCCATCCCTGTCCCCAGCACAGGATGTCCCTGTCCTCGCTGTGCTCACAGTGGATGTCCCCAGCAGGTGGTGTCTCTGTCCCCTGTCCCCAGCACTGGGGGTGGCCTTGTCCCCATGCCCACAGTGGGTGTCCCCAGCACTGCGTGTCCCTGTGTCCCCAGCAATGGCTGTTCTTGTCCCCCACCCCACAGGGAGTGTTCCTGTCCCTGTGCCCACAGTGGATGTCCCCAGCACTGGGTGTCCCTGTCCCCAGCACCGTGTGTTCCGCTCCCCACAATTTCACCGAGTGTCCCCAGCACTGGGTGTCCCTATCCCCAGCCCTGGGTGTCCCTGTCCCCAGCATGGGGTGTCCCTGTCCCCTCACCAAGTGTCCCCAGCACGAGGTGTCCCTGTCCCTAGCACAGGGTGTCCCTGTCACCAGCACGAGGTGTCCCTGTCCCCAGCCCTGGGTGTCCCTGGCCCCAGCCCTGGGTGTCCCTGTCCCCAGCATGGGGTGTCCCTGTCCCCTCACCAAGTGTCCCCAGCATGAGTTGTCCCTGTCCCCAGCCCTGGGTGTCCCTGTCCCCATCACAGGGTGTCCCCAGCATGGGGTGTCCCTGACCCCTCACTGAGTGTCCCCAGCCCTGGGTGTCCCTGTCCCCATCACGGGGTGTCCCTGACCCCTCACTCAGTGTCCCCACCCTTGGGTGTCCCTGTCCCCAGCATGGGGTGCCCCTGTCCCCTCACCGAGTGTCCCCAGCCCTGGGTGTCCCTGTCCCCTCACCCTCACCAAGTGTCCCCAGCACAAGGTGTCCCTGTCCCCAGCACGGGGTGCCCCTGTCCCCTCACCAAGTGTCCCCAGCCCTGGGTGTCCCTGTCCCCTCACCCTCACCAAGTGTCCCCAGCACAAGGTGTCCCTGTCCCCAGCACGGGGTGTCCCTGACCCCTCACCGAGTGTCCCCAGCCCTGGGTGTCCCTGTCCCCAGCATGGGGTGTCCCTGTCCCCTCACCGAGTGTCCCCAGCCCTGGGTGTCCATGTCCCCTCCCCAGGTGTCCCCAGCCCTGGGTGTCCCTGTCCCCAGCCCTGGGTGTCCCTGTCCCCAGCACGGGGTGTCCCTGACCCCTCACCAGGTGTCCCCGTCCCCCAGGCAATGTCCCCTGTGCTGTCACCTCGCAGCCACTCGCAGTTGTAGTTGCTGAAGGTCCCGGTGGAGCGCAGCTGGATCCGCGCCTTGTCCCCACTCTTGGTGACGTTGGCGACGTCGGTGACCTCGAAGGTCTCGAAGGGCGGGATCAGCACCTCCTCCTCGTGCGGGAAGAAGGAGAATTCCCGGATGGCCGCGCCCTGGCAGGTGAGCACCTGGAAGGCCGCGTCCGTGCCGAAGCCCCAGGAGCTCTCGTTGCGCAGCGACGCCGACGCGAAGTGACCGAAGCGCACGGTGTCACCGCGCCGCGCCTCGAAGCGCACCCCGCGCACGCCCCGGAACACGCGGTGACACCGGGATCCCTGAGCGGCCCGCAGCGTCCCCAGGGCCTGTGGGGAAAATGCGCATTTTATTGATATAGCGAATATTAACGTCATTATTAATATTAAAATATGCGTATTTTATTGATATCACAAATATTAATATTATTATTGTTAATATTAAAATATGCATATTTTATTGATATCACAAATATTAATATTATTATTAATATTAGAATATGCGTGTTTTATTGATGTCGCAAATATTAATATTATATATATTTATAATATATAATGTAATATAAAATATTACATGCGTTATGTTATAAAGTTATGCTGCGTTAATTTTTTCTTAAGTAGTGTGGTAGTACTTTTCTTGAGTAGTTTTAGGTTATAATATAAAGTTAAAATAGAAATTGTGCTATGTTCTTGTAGTGAATGCCTCAAGTGTGAGGCTTGACAACATTTTTCTCAGAATGGAGTAATAAATAAATACCTTCTCAGAGGGCTGATTTATTATGTTATATATTATATTAAAATACTACATAAAAACTATACTAAAAGAACAGAGAGAGAGGAAGGATCAGAAGGCTACAAAGACCAAGAATAGAATAGAAAATTAATAGAATAGAATAGAATAGAATAGAACAGAAAATAGAATAGCATAGAAAATGAATAGAATAGGATAGAATAGAATAGAATAGAATAGAATAGAATAGAATAGAATAGAATGCATAACAAAATCTCGTGACCCCTCACAGCCTCGGCACAGGTGGCTGTGATTGGTTATCAATTATAAACAATCCACATGGACCAGGGGAAGATGCCCCTGCTGCATTCTACAGCAGCACAGTTCTTGTTTTTATTATTTCCATTTCTCTCCTGAGGCTCTCAGCTCCTCCGGACAGGAAAAATCCTAGCAGAGGATTTTTCATAAAATATCATAGCTACACTATGTAAGGACTCACACCAAGACAGCGGCCACAGGACACCTAAATCTTTCAAAGAAAAAGTATGTATTGCCCCATTATCAGAAGAAACGAACTTCTTCCTGCCTCGCTCAGCCCTGAAGACACCATCAGGATTCAGAGGAAGAAGTTGACAGTGAGCAGACAGAATCCTCTGCTTGGATGGAAATTATGCATCAGGATGAGGTGTATGAATATGCAATGGGCTATTGCTTTTAAGGGTTAATCCTCTGTTAAAGTGTGTCCTTTTTTGGGCTTATTTTGCCCAGAAAGAGGTACCTGGACTATCTGTAACTCTTTGTTTTTATTGTCTTGTACTGTCCTAATGTCAATTGCCCAATTTTTTATTACTCTAATTATATTATATGACTATTTTGATAACCATTTTATTACTATTAAACTTTTAAAATTCTAAAAGCAAGTGATTGGCGTTTTCCCCACCTGGGTCAGCAGGAAGTGCAGCGTTTTGAAGTGGAAGTTGTCCCGGTACTCGCGGCGGGAGCGCCCGGCCGCGCGCACGGCCGCGTTGAACTCGCGGTGTAACGGCACCGGCGCCGTGTAGGCCAGCAGGGCCACGGCCTGGGCTGGGGACAGAGGGGACCCGGGGGACCGAGGGGACCCAGGGGAGCCAGGGGACAGCCGGACGCGCCACTCGGCCGCGGCCAGAGCCCAGGCCTCGGCGAAGGCAGCGCCGTGCCGGAGCTCGGAGTGGTTGAGGGCCGGCAGCGCGGCGGCCATGGCGCGGCCGCAGCCCCGGTACTGGTCATCGAAGGAGTCCCGGGCCATGTCCAGGGCCACCACCACGGCGGTGGCACTGTCACCGGGGGGCACGGTGGTGGCCGCGGTCAGTGCGGTCATCGCCAGGAGGGTCAGGGTCAGCGGGTCCATGGTGGGGAGGCCGTGGGGTGTCCCCAGTGCGGGGACACTGAGGGGACAGAAAAGGGCACTGGGGACACTGTGGGGCACTGAGGGACACTGAGGGCCCCCCCACCCCGGGTATTTTTAGGGGGTCCCCGCCCCTCCCCCCCAGTGAACCAGAACCACAAATGGGAGGGACTGGGATGGACTGGGAATGGACTGGGATGGACTGGGAATGCACTGGGAGGGCACTGGGAGTGACTGGGAGGGCATTGGGAGGGCACTGGGAGAGCACTGGGAGGGACTGGGAGGGCACTGGGAGTGACTGGGAGGGCATTGGGAGAGAACTGGGAGGGCACTGGGAGGACACTGGGAGGACACTGGGAGGCACTGGGAGGCACTGGGAGGGCACTGGGAGGGCACTGGGAGTGACTGGGGGACACTGGGAGTGACTGGGAGGGCACTGGGAGGGCAGTGGGAATGACAGGGAGGGACTGGGAGTGACTGAGAGCCACTGGGAGTGACTGGGAGGGCACTGGGAGGGACTGGGAGGGCACTGGGAATGACTGGGAGGGACTGGAAAGGGGACTGGGAGGGTACTAGGATGAACTGGGAGGGCACTGGGAGCACTGGGAGTGTTGGGGCTGTCTGCAGGGGCTCAGCTCCCAGTGCTCCCAGTTACTTCCAGTATCTTCCCAGTGCTTCCCAGTATCCTCCCAGTCACGCTCCACTCACTCCTTGGTGCCTCCCAGTCCCTCCCAGTCCCTCCCAGTACTCCCCAAGCATTTCCCAGTGCCTCCCAGTCCCTCCCAGCACCCTCCAGTTCCTCTCGGCCATCCCCCGACTGCTCCCAGTCACTCCCAGTACATCCCCTCAGCTCCCAGTCACTCCCAGTCACTCCCAGTATATCCAGTCATCTCCCAGTCATCCCCCAGTCCTTCCCAGCTGCTCCCAGTCCCCCCAGTTTCCACTCACTGTCGCCTCCCAGTCCCTCCCCAGCCAATCCCAGTTTTCCCCAGCAGCTCCCAGTCCGTCCCAGTCCCTCCCAGTCCCCCCCAATCCCCTCCCAGTCCCTTCCAGTATCCCCCAATCCCCCCCCAGTCCCTCACTGGGAGAGGAACTGGGGATACTGGGATCACTGGGGGGGCAGTGGTGGCACTGGTGACACTGGGAACATTGTCCGGGGGGGTGGTGGCCCTGCTGTCCCCTCTGTGACCCCCGTGTGACCCCTGTGTGACCCCAGGCAGGACCCGTGGCAGCAGTGTCCCCTCACCGCGGTGGCACCCGCGGGACTGCGGGGGACCCTTCCAGAGTGCCACCCTCCCCGTGTCACCATGCCTCCCCTCCGTGTCCCCCCCATGGTGTCCCCCATGTTGTGCCCCTCGCCACCCCCCCATGTCCTCCTGCTGTCCCCTCCCACGTCACTCCACGTCCCCAAGGTGTCACCCCTTGGTGTCAACCTCAAGGTGTCCCCATGGTGTCACCTCCCGGTGCCCACCTTGGCGTTGTCCCCACGGTGTCCCCGCTGTGTTCATCCATCCCTCCCTCTCCTGGTGTCCCCCAGGGTGTCCCCATTGTCCCCACCGCCTTCCCCCTGGTGTCCCTTGTGTCCCCAAGGTGTCCTGCTGCTCCCCCTCCATGTCCACCTGGTGTCCCCATGGTGTCCCCATTGTCCCTACCACCATCCCCCTGGTGTCCCTTGTGTCCCCAAAGTGTCCTGCTGCTGTCCCTCCATGTCCATCTCATGTCCCCACGATGTCCCCATCCTGGTGTCCCCCATGTCCCCCAGGTGTCCTGCTGCTGTCCGTCCATGTCCATCTCATGTCCCCACGATGTCCCCATCCTGGTGTCCCCCATGTCCCCCAGGTGTCCTGCTGCTGTCCGTCCATGTCCATCTCATGTCCCCACGATGTCCCCATCCTGGTGTCCCCCATGTCCCCCAGGTGTCCTGCTGCTGTCCGTCCATGTCCATCTCATGTCCCCAAGGTGTCCCCAAGGTGTCCCCATGGTGTCCCCCATGTCCCCAAGGTGTCCTGCTGCTCCCCCTCCATGTCCACCTGGTGTCCCCACGGTGTCCCCATTGTCACCACTCCCATCCCTCTGGTGTCCCCAGGATGTCCTGCTGCCGTCCCTCCATGTCCATCTCATGTCCCCACGATGTCCCCATCCTGGTGTCCCCCATGTCCCCCAGGTGTCCTGCTGCTGTCCGTCCATGTCCATCTCATGTCCCCAAGGTGTCCCCAAGGTGTCCCCATGGTGTCCCCCATGTCCCCAAGGTGTCCTGCTCCTGTCCGTCCATGTCCATCTCATGTCCCCAAGGTGTCCCCATGGTGTCCCCATTGTCACCACCTCCATCTCTCTGGTGTCCCCCATGTCCCCACAGTGTCCTGCTGCTACCATCCATGTCCATCTCATGTCCCCATGGTGTCCCCATCCTGGTGTCCCCCATGTCCCCAAGGTGTCCTGCTGCCGTCCGTCCATGTCCATCTCATGTCCCCAAGGTGTCCCCAAGGTGTCCCCATGGTGTCCCCCATGTCCCCAAGGTGTCCTGCTGCCATCCCTCCATGTCCATCTCATGTCCCCACGATGTCCCCATTGTCACCACCCCTATCCCCATGGTGTCCGTTGTGTCCCCAAGGTGTCCCCCTGCTGTCCCTCCATGTCCACCTGGTGTCCCCACGGTGTCCCCATTGTCACCACTCCCATCCCCCTGGTGTCCCCCATGTCCCCAAGGTGTCCCCCTGCTACTCCTGCATGTCCACCTGGTGTCCCCATGGTGTTCCCATTGTCACCACCCCCATCCCCATGGTGTCCCTTGTGTCCCCAAAGTGTCCTGCTGCTACCATCCATGTCCACCTGGTGTCCCCATGGTGTCCCCATTGTCACCACTCCCATCCCTCTGCTGTCCCCACAGTGTCCTGCTGCTCCCCCTCCATGTCCATCTCATGTCCCCATGGTGTCCCCATGGTGTCCCACATGTCCCCAAGGTGTCCTGCTGCTCCTCCTCCATGTCCCCAAGGTGTCCCCATGGTGTCCCCCATTGTCACCACTCCCATCCCTCTGGTGTCCCCAAATTGTCCTGCTGCTACCCCTCTATTCCATCTCATGTCCCCATGGTGTCCCCACGGTGTCCCCATTGTCACCACTCCCATCCTTCTGGTGTTCCCAAGGTGTCCTGCTGCTACCATCCATGTCCATCTCATGTCTCCATGGTGTCCCCATGGTGTCCCTTGTGTCCCCAAGGTGTCCTGCTGCTCCCCCTCTATTCCCCCTCATGTCCCCATGGTGTCCCCATGGTGTCCCCATGGTGTCCCCACGGTGTCCCCATTGTCACCACCTCCATCTCTCTGGTGTCCCCAAGGTGTCCCCCTGCTACCATCCATGTCCATCTCATGTCCCCGTGGTGTCCCCATCCTGGTGTCCCCCATGTCCCCAAGGTGTCCTGCTGCTGTCCCTCCATGTCCATCTCATGTCCCCAAGGTGTCCCCGTGGTGTCACCACTGTCACCACTCCTATCCCCATGGTGTCCCCCATGTCCCCACAGTGTCCTGCTGCTACCATCCATGTCCATCTCATGTCCCCACGGTGTCCCCACCCTGGTGTCCCCCATGTCCCCACAGTGTCCTGCTGCTACCATCCATGTCCATCTCATGTCCCAAAGGTGTCCCCACGGTGTCCCCCATGTCCCCAAGGTGTCCCCCTGCTACCATCCATGTCCATCTCATGTCCCCATGGTGTCCCCACCCTGGTGTCCCCCATGTCCCCACAGTGTCCTGCTGCTACCATCCATGTCCATCTCATGTCCCCACGGTGTCCCCATCCTGGTGTCCCCCATGTCCCCTCAGTGTCCCCCGCTGTCCCCCCAGGACCTGCTCCGGGCCATCAGTGGGACCCTCATCTTCCTCGTGGCGGCCCTGGTGGCCTTGGCCTCGTCCCGTGATGCCCTGGCTGCCACCACCTTTGTGAGTGTCCCCAAACCCCGCCCCGTCCCTGAGCCCCGCCCCTGAGTGACCGGGCCACGCCCCCGAGTGACCGGGCCACGCCCCTTCCCCTCCCCCCAGACCTTCAGCCTGGTCCTGGCCTTGGTCTTCGCCTTCGACACCTTTGTCACCTTCCGCACGCGGGTGGCCCCGGGACAGGGTGAGGGGCACTGGGGACACCCTGGGGTGGGGCTGGGGACACCTGGGACACCCGGGACACCCTGAGTTGGGGCTGGGGAGAGTGGGACACACTTGGATGAGGTTAGGGAACACCTGGGACGTCCATGGGTGGGGTTGGGGGACACCTGGGACACCGTTGGGTGGGGTTAGGGGACACCTGGAACACCCTGGGGTGGGGTTGGGGACACTTGGGACACCCTGGAGTGAGGCTGGGGACACCTGAGACACCCTGGAGTGGGGTTGGGGGACACCTGGGATGTCAATGGGTGGGGTTTGGGGACACCTGGGACACCTTTGGGTGGGGTTTGGGACACCTGGGACACTCTGGGGTGGGGTTGGGGACACCTGGGACATCCATGGATAGGACTGGGGACACCTGGGATGTCCATGGGTGGGGCTGGGGGACACCTGGGACACCTTTGGGTGGGGCTAGGGACACCTGGGACACCCTTGGGTGGGGCTGGGGACACCTGGGACACCCTGGGGTGGGGTTAGGGGACACCTGGGATGTCAATGGGTGGGGTTTGGGGACACCTGGGACACCTTTGGGTGGGGTTGGGAACACCTGGGATGTCCATGGGTAAGGCTGGGGGACACTGGGGACACCCTTGAGTGGGGCTGGAGACCTCTGGGACACTCTTGGGTGGGGTTGGGGATATCTAGGACACCCTTGGGTGGGGTTGGGGGACACCTGGGACGACCATGGGTAGGGTTGGGGACATATGGGACACCCTTGGGTGGGGTTGGGGGACACCTGGATCATCTTTCTCCACCATGTCCAACTGTTCCTCCTCCAGATCCTGACATGGAGGACAGCTGATGGTCACCGCCCCCCACCACTGTCTCATCATCCTCTGGGTCCAGTCCGCCATCCCCCACCCCAAAAATTAAACCTTGTCCCACAGCTGGTGCTGCTCAGGGTCGTGTTTTTGGCGTGGGGTGGGGCAGGGTGGCCGAGGGGACATTGTGTCCCTTCTGTGGCTCATTAATGAATTAATTATGGCATTGGGGTCCCCTCGTCTTGGACAGGGGGTAGGGGGTGTCACTGGTGGGGAGAGGGTCTGCTGTGAGGTTTGGAGTCACTCATGATGGGGGGTCCATCATCATCATCACGGCTCCATCATGGTGGTGGTGGGTCCATCTCATCATCATTGTGGGTCCATCTTGGTGGTGGTGAGTGACTTGTATCATGGTGGGGTGTCCCCTGTTGTGGTGTGGGGGGTCCTTCATGATGTCATCATGGTGGGTCCCTCATGGTGGTGGCAGACCCCTCATCTCATCATCATTGCGGGTCCATCTTGGTGGTGGTGGGTCCATCTCATTATCATTGTGGGTCCATCTTGGTGGTGGTGAGTGACTTGTATCATGGTGGGGTGTCCCCTGTTGTGGTGTGGGGGGTCCTTCATGGTGTCATCATGGTGGGTCCCTCACGGTGGTGGCGGATCCCTCATCACAGGGGCAGGTCACTCATCATGGTGGTCACACGTCTCTTATCATGGTGGGGGGCCCACTGTGGTGGTCAGTCCCTCAACAAGGGGTGATGGACCCCTCATGGCGATGGTGGGTCCCTCATCATCGTGACTGGTCAGTCATTGTCATGATGGGACCTTCATCTTGGTGGGTCTCTCATGGTGTGTCCCTTGTGGTGGCAGTGGAGTCACTCATGGTGGTGGGTCACTCATGGCAGGTCCTTCATAGGGACGGGTCACTCCTCATCGTGCAGCTTCTGGAGTGGGGTGGGAGAGAAGACAGAAGGTCCAGGGGGGGTTGTGGGGCAGCTGTGGGGGGTGACAGGGGGTGACAGGGGGTCCCACCTTGGCTCCGATGTCGCGGCTCTTGGCCCGCAGTTTGTTGACCTGGGACTCGGCGATGTCCGCGCGTTCCTCAGCCTCGTCCAGCTCGTGCTGCGCCTTCCGGAACTTGGCCAGGTTGGTGTTGGCCTGTTCCTCCTGGGGGGACAAATGTTCGGGGGGTTGGTTCCGGGGAAGGACATCCTCCTGCCACCCCCACACCTGAGATGGCTTCAAGAGCCTGTCTATCCATCCTTCTCTTCCACTAATCCATCCATCATCCATCCATCCATCCATCCATCCATCCATCCATCCATCCATCCCTCCATCCATCATCCATCCATCATCCATCCATCCATCCATCCCTCCATCCATCCGTCCGTCCGTCCATCCCTCTGTCCCATTCACCCACCGCCTCCTCCGCCTGTCTCTTGTAGGCCTTGACTTTCATCTGCAGCTTGTCCACCAGGTCCTGCAGCCGCAGCAGGTTCTTCTTGTCCTCCTCCGTCTGGGGGAACAGGGACAGGGATGGACACTGGACCAGAGCACAGCCAGAGCTCCTGGGCCTCAGTTTCCCTTCCCAGAGACTTTCTGTATTCCCCTGGCCACCAGGTCAATGCTCTGGGCCACCCATGTCCCTGTGGTCACCCCATCAACATTCTGGGTTGACCACATCCCTGGGGCCACCATCTCTGCCAGTTTTTGATCCCCCACAGTGTGACTGAAGAGAGGCTGTGCTGTGGTGGCTTCATCTGGTAGCTGTGTTTGACCCACCCAGGTGGTGTCACCTGGCGGCTGAGCTCCATGACTCCATCCATCCATCCATCCATCCATCCGTCCGTCCGTCCATTCCTCTGTCCCATTCACCCACCGCCTCCTCCGCCTGTCTCTTGTAGGCCTTGACTTTCATCTGCAGCTTGTCCACCAGGTCCTGCAGCCGCAGCAGGTTCTTCTTGTCCTCCTCCGTCTGGGGGAACAGGGACAGGGATGGACACTGGACCAGAGCCCAGCCAGAGCTCCTCGGCCTCAGTTTCCCTTCCCAGAGACTTCCTGTATCCCCCTGGCCACCAGGTCAATGCTCTGGGTCATCCACTTCCCTTTGGTTGCTCAATGAATGTTCTGGGTCATGTTTGTTCCTGTGGCCATGCAGTCAATGTCTTGGGCCACCCATGTCCCTGTGGTCACCCCATCAACATTCTGGGTTGACCACATCCCTGGGGCCACCATCTCTGCCAGTTTTTGATCCCCCACAGTGTGACTGAAGAGAGGCTGTGCTGTGGTGGCTTCATCTGGTAGCTGTGTTTGACCCACCCAGGTGGTGTCACCTGGTGGCTGAGCTCCATGACCCACCTCAATGGTCACACTTGTAGTTGAGTTTGACCTACCTTAACGGTCTCACCTCTCTCTGGGCTCCCTGACCCACCCAGGTGGTGTCACCTGGCGGCTGAGCTCCATGACTGACCTCAATGGTCTCTTCTCTACCTGATCTCCATGACAGGCCCAGGTGCTCTTACCTGGTATCTGAGTCTCACCTCCATGGTCTCACCTGGTACCTGACTCTCACCCCCGTGGTCTCACCTGGTAGCTGAGCTCCTTCACCCACCCCTATGGTCTCACCTCCATGGTCTCACCTGGTTCCTGAGTCTCACCCCGTGGTCTCACCTGGTAGCTGAGCTCCTTGATGCGCCGCTCGGACTTGCGCAGCCCCTTGACGCTCTCGGCGTTGCGCTTCTGCTCGGCCTCCAGCTCGTTCTCCAGCTCCCGCACGCGCCCCTCCAGCTTCTGCAGCTGCTTCTTGCCGCCCTTGAGCGCCAGCTGCTCGGCCTCGTCCAGCCGCAGCTGCAGGTCCTTGATGGTCTGCTCCATGTTCTTCTTCATCCGCTCCAGGTGCGCGCTCGTGTCCTGCTCCTTCTTCAGCTCCTCTGCCATCATGGCCGCCTGCCCGCGGGGGGACAAGCAGGGGGTCCATGGCACGTTCTCCATGCTGGCCCCGGTGATGGCCCCACCGCGACACTCACATCGGTGATGGCCTTCTTGGCCTTCTCCTCGGCATTCCGGCACTCCTGGACAGCCTCCTCCACCTCTGTCTGCAGCTGGGAGATGTCACCTTCCATCTTCTTCTTCTGGTTGATGAGGCTGGTGTTCTGGGGGGACAGGGAGGGACCTCAGAGTTTTCCCTGGGGTGCTGCCCTGTTCCTCAGACCCCTGGTTATCTCTGCAGGTTGACGGATCTTCTGGAGATCTTGGTGACACAACACAGAAATTAACACCACCCTTCTGTACATCAACTAGATGTTCCTTGGACCTTCCATAGACCAACCCAACTTCCTCCAGACCAACCTTTCAGGACGAGGGGGAGATGTTGGATCTGCACCACCCTGAGCCACCCTGAGCTCCCTAGCCAACCAATCAGAGCTGGAGAAGCCCTGGATGGAGGTGCCCCCTCTCCTGGCAGGCAGGTGAGGTCTCACCTGTGAGTGGAGGAGCTGGACCCTCTCGCTGGCCTCGATCAGCTCCTGCTCGGCCAATTTCCGGGCCCTCTCGGTCTGTTCCACCAGGCCCCGGAGCTCCTCCAGCTCGGACTGCAGCAGGGTGTTCCTGCGCTCCACCATGGCCACGTTCTCCTTCAGGTCCTCCCCGACCCTTGCCGCATCATCCAGCTGCAGCTGTGTGTCCTGGGGGGTGGTGGAAAGGGGTGGTGGGTCCACCCAACCATGGGGTGGGTGGGGAGGGAGAGGAACCACCCCTGTTGGATGGTGGGACCTCCAACACCCCAAGGTCCCCATGGACAGGTTTCTTCTGGTACTTCCTATACCCCAATATTCCTCTGTTACTTTGAGGTACCTCTTATACCTCAATGTCCCTGTGGACAGATAGCTTCAGACACCTCCTACACCCCAATGTCCCTGTGATACCTTGAGGTGGTACCTCCATATCCCATTGGACAGGTACCTTCAGGCACCTCTGGCACCTTCATGTCCCTGTGGAACCTTCAGGTATCTCCTACCTCTCCACGCCACATGGACAGGTACCTTCAGGTACCTCCTACACCTCCATGTCCCCATGGAACCTTCAGATACCTTCTACACCTTCATATCCCCGTGGGACCTTCAGGTCCCTCCTACACCTCCATGTCCCCGTGGAACCTTCAGATACCTCCTTCACCTCCATGTCCTCATGGAACCTTCAGGCACCTCCTACCCCTCCGTGCCACATGGACAGATACCTTCTACACCTTCATATCCCCATGGGACCTTCAGGTACCTCATATACCTCCATGTCCCTGTGGAACCTTCAGGTACCTCCTGCACCTCCATGTCCCTGTGGAACCTTCAGGTACCTCCGGCACCTCCATGTCCCTGTGGAACCTTCAGGCATCTCCTACCTCTCCACGCCACATGGACAGGTACCTTCAGGTACCTCCTACCCCTCCATGTCCCTGTGGAACCTTCAGGTACCTCTGGCACCTTCATGTCCCCATGGAACCTTCAGATACCTCCTTCACCTCCATGTCGCCATGGAACCTTCAGATACCTCCTACACCTCCACGTCCCCATGGAACCTTCAGGCACCTCCTACCCCTCCGTGCCACATGGACAGATACCTTCTACACCTTCATATCCCCATGGGACCTTCAGGTCCCTCCTACACCTCCATGTCTCATGGAACCTTCAGGTACCTCCTACACCTCCATGTCCCCGTGGAACCTTCAGGCACCTCCTACCCCTCCATGCCACATGGACAGATACCTTCTACACCTTCATATCCCCATGGGACCTTCAGGTACTTCCTACACCTCCATGTTCCTGTGGAACCTTCAGGTACCTCCTACACCTCCACGTCCCCGTGGAACCTCCAGGCATGGCCTACCTTTCCATGTCGCATGGACAGGTACCTTCAGGTAGCCTTGCAGAGCCTTGACCTGCTTCTGGGCCTCGTTGGCACCGCGGTTGGCGTGGCTGAGCTGGATCTCCATCTCGTTGAGGTCTCCCTCCATCTTCTTCTTCAGCCTCAGGGCCTCGTTGCGGCTCCGGGTCTCGGCGTCCAGCGAGGTCTGGAGCGACTCCACCACGCGCAGGTGGTTGCGCTTCACCTGCTCCATCTCCTCCTCCTT